TTTTTACAGGTTCACCAACAGAATCCTGTGTGGAAAGAAAACAAGAAGAGGTTAGATGGCGGTGACCCAGGGGCCGCCGAGCCCTAAGCACTGAGCGGAAGCCCGGGGTGACCCGCCCGTGCCTGCGGGTGGATGCTGGAGGAGTCAGCGGGCACCGAGGATGCACGGACGGAGGGCTCGGAGGACTGACAGCGGCCGCTGGGGGGTCGGGAGACTCTTACTAACCCACAGGCGCCTGCCTCTGCCCAGCGTCCCCGGGAAAGCGAGAGGGAGAGAAACAGACGGACAGACAGACAGAGCGCTCCAACCCCGAGCCTCGACGTGCCGTATTCGAGCAGCGCCGGCTTCCTTGCCTCGGCCTGGAGGCTCAGCGGGTTGGAGCACCGCCCTGCACACCCAAGGATGCAGGTTCGACTCCTGGTCAGTGCGCAGGCCGAAGCTGAGGGTTGATCCTTGGCCGGGGTACTTATGGGAGGCAACCGGTCAACGTCTCTCTCTCTCTCTCTCTCTCTCTCTCTCTCTCTCTCTCAAATCAATAAAAACATATCCTTGAATGAGAATTTTTTTTTTTTTTTACAAAAAAAGGCAGTGCTGGCTTCCTGCAGAGGTCGGGGGGGGGGTTCCTGCATCACCCACCAGGCCGGGAGGAGGGGTCTGAAGCTCTGCACCCCCTTCCGGGCCTGCCCTACGTTCCAGCTCACGGGGAGGGCGCGGTTTTTCTGCTCCGGAGGCTCGGCCCAGGAGCTTCTCAGCGGCGCACGAGCTCCGAGAGGGACTACAGAGGGACGCACAGTCCAGACGAGTTGAAAAGACAGACCCGGTGAGCCCTCGACGCCCCGGCTGGAGAAGGGCACCTGGGAGGGCGTCCACGCAAGGTTCCTGGTCAGAAAAGGAAGCCACCTGCTGCCAAGTGACCCGAGGTGGGGACCTGGGATCAATTCTGACTTGGGAGAAACCGGGGTCCCCTGCTGCCCAGAAGGGGGTTCTCGGCTGGCCTGGCCCCACTGGCCACAAGCCACACCGTGAGTCACGGGCTACAGGCCAAGTGTCTGCTTTTGCAAAACCAAGAGGACAGGGTCCCCCGGAGGGGACAGGGTCCCCCAGAAAGGGCCGTGTCCCCCCCGAGGCCTCCTGGGTGCTGGCTCCCGTTCCGTGGCCCTCAGCTCGGAGAGAATGCGCCGAGGTTCGAAGAGTGTTCCCTCGAGTGTCAGCAGCTGGCTCTTCTCTTCGTGGGCTTTCCAGAGCCGAGCGGCGAGGCTCGGACCCTTCCCTGGTCCTTGTTAGGAACGTCTTGGGCGCGCTTTTGAAAATAGCACCACCCGCAGATCGGCTTCTCGGGGGCGTCGCTGTGAGAGCCTCTGTCGCGTCTCAGGCTCCGTTTGGGATGAAGCAGCCGTGGCCGATGGGGAGATCCGGGCGCCAATGAGGTTTGCTCAAGTTTACTTGTTCCACGAAAAGTGACAGGGAATTGGCGCAAGAGCCAGTGGCCGGCGGCCCGCGCCCGAGGCTGCTTTCCCAGGAGCGGGCGGCCTCCGGCCCCGCTCCGTCTTGTCCGGAGCACTCTGCGGGCTGTGCCGGGGGGACGGGCTCTGAGGCCGGGGGGAAGGGCCCTGAGGCCGGGGGGACGGGCCCTGAGGCCG